TTTATTGGGGAATGTATTTTAAAAAAATCTACAAAATAAAAGGATAAATACATTTACCTTTAAACATTTTAAAGGGACACTTTAAGCACCCTAACCACTTATTGGATAGGGTTATGTTGCCTGAAATCCCTCTTTCTGTTCAGAAATGAGTTAACATTGAATAACAGCCTGGCCCTCGCTGGTGGTGGAGTTACCAACACCTATCAGCGGTGGTAAGTTGAGAGACTCCAGGCTCCATAACTACTTCAATTATACAAAAAGTGGTTATAGTGCCTGAAGTGTTCCTTTAAAGCTTAACTGTGTCACTTTCAGACAGGCTGTTTCATAGCACACCCTGAGATTTGCGAAGTAAATGGAGAACGAGAAATCATCGTATAGTTAAAAATAATCCTGCATCCTGTTTTTCTCTCTTTTCCTGTAACTATTTGTCTTCATGGTTTCATTCTTGCCTGTTTTTCTCATGCTGTTCCTTATATAATAACATATATTGCTCCAATAGTCTCCCACCCCCAACAGTCTAAAGCTTAAAGTTTTATGAAATAAAGTAGCGGCACAAGGCACTCAAGGTGGAGCAAACAGCATAATTTTGAACCGACTAGGTCTTTGTCAAGTTTGACAATTTAAATCTAAATCAATCGATACAATAAAGTAATAGAAGCAGGGCCGGTGCAAGGATTTTTTAACCCCCCCTCATTTGCTCTGCCCACCATGTGACATCACAATACCCCACCCATATGATCTGCCATATGGACCAATGCCAGTGCTGCACACAGTGTGTGTTTACATTACAAAGTCTGCAGGCACAGGCTATATACACCAGAACCACTTCATTAAGCTGTAGTGGTTCTGGTGACTATAGTGTCCCCCCTTCCCCTCCTGGTCTCTCTCCCCCCCCCTTACCCTCCTGGTCTCTTTTCCACTCCCCCCTCCCCTGGTGGTCTCTCCCACTCCCCTTCTCCCCTTCCCTTGTGTGCCTCCTACTTCAATGGGACCATGCTACAGGAGATCTGTTTCCTGTACCCGACTGGACTGACAGGAAGTGCTCACTGAGAGATCACTTCCTTTCAGTCCGGCCGTGTACAGGAAACAGAACTCCTGTACCATGGTCCGCACCTCCCGGCCATGCTACACTGAGTGACAGGTAGGAGAGAGCGCTTCCCTCCTACTAGGTCACTCAAATTTGTCCTCCCCCCACCCCACCCCACGTGCCAGTGCACCCTAGGCAGAAGAGAAAGAGAATAAATTATTCTGCTCAAAAATCCATTTATTATCACTAAAGGTAGAATATACTCACAAATACTCAGAGGGGGAGACCTTTAACAAAGTGTGAAAACCAAAGGTAGTAAAAACAAACAAAAAATTCCAATATTTTACCATTCACTCTAGTGAAACCCTTAAATCTTTCACCCCAAGTAATGAGTGGAAACATGTAGAATATCTGGGTTGAGAGAAAATTCACTGGTGATTTATCTATGGATCACTCCTGTGGTTGTGTATAATCTGATTTTATGGAAATATCTCTTCTAAGTACCAAGTAGGCAAACATTTGTTGTGAGTAATTCACCGACGTTCCCTTCTTGCTCGATCTATTTATCTGTCTACTAACCAGTCTGCCTGCGTCTGCCTGATGGCCATTAGAATATACTGTACTGCCCATTCTACTTCCTGCCTAAATTATAGGTAATGTATTTACACATGTTATATTTTGATTTATAAGGGCAGTATATATAGAAACTGCAGTAATTGCAGTATAGCTGGATTTCTATACAGTAAGCCAATTGTTTAAACAATCATTAACTAGAAGATTTCAGATCGTTCCAGCCAGTCTGGGACACAGGAATGCGATCTTACATGTTTTGTGCCATTATTGTACTCAAAAAGCTTTTCTTGTCGGCCGGTAATCTGTTTATCTAGGTGTGTTTTACACAGATAAAAGCCAGCATTGGGGAGAATAGTTTGCCACCCACACTCATTATATTGTTGTCAATGACAAAGCAAAGTATGAGCTCTCATGTTCTAGTTTGAGTATAATATCACTTTTTTGTCAATCTTTGTCAATGTTTATTTCATGGAAAATGTAGGTCACAAGCAAACTAACAATACGTAAGTCAAACCACATTTTAGCTAAAGACATGTTGTATCCAGTTACACAAACCACTGTTAAATAGGGAATGTTAGGTGAAAGGAAATGGTTCATTTTGAGGCATAGAGTGCACATAAAATATGTGGAACCGGAGTATACTTTTAGCTTAGTAAATAAGTAATGGTATAAGTCTGCTAAAAGTCTTTTTAAGAAAAAAATATATATTCTTGGCAGAGCCAAGTAACCAAACTCCATTTGGGGAATAGTCAAAGAAACCCCCCTAATTCTGGCTAAAATTGCCTTCTGTTTACCAGGAGCCATGTTTAACATAGAGCAGGGGTAGGCAACCTTTGGCACTATAGATGTTTTTGACTACATCTTCCGTAATGCTCTTAAATACATAATGCTGGCAAAGCATCAAGTGAAATGTAGTCCACAACAACTGGAGTGCCAACAGCTGCCTACACCTGACATACAGTATAGATAGACACAGTAATAATGGGCAAAAAAACACAGGTGGTGTGGCAACCAGGTAAACCCAAGTGTAGTGCCTGAGTGTGCACAGACAATCTTCCAGAGGGGTTGCACCAGGCACTGTCGCTGAAACGGGTGTGGGCCACCTGTCAGTTCCACAATAAGTGACAGAAACTACAGGTACACCTTTGCCTTGACCAGATAATATGACCTTTTAGTATCCTTCTTTGTGTGTCCATCTGTCTGGCTGTCTGTATCTTTATTTTTAATGATGTTTTTATGTTCTGTAGTTGCAGCTGGAAAAAACTATCTGTCTTTCTTTCTCCTCTATATTTTGCCTTTTATAGTCATGAAGTCATGAGGAAAAAGCAGTTCTTTTCTTCTTTCTTTTGTACGAACTCTGAATGACGAATTCAATAGTGTCCTTGTTGTTTGGTTTTCTCTGACACAGATTTATTTTCTTTGTTTTCTCTAGAAAACCCAGAGAGAGCAGCATTATATTTTGTATCTGGAGTGTGCATTGGCCTAATTTTGACTCTTGTGGCCTTGGTAATGAGGATATCTTGCCAAACAGACTGTAAAAGGTCCACAGTAAAGAAGCCTCCCAGGAAACAGGAGAGTGACAGTGATGACAGCAGCGACAGTGACGATGACTCTGACACCACTTCGGATTTATCTGCAAGAAGGCACAGGCGCTTTGAGAGGACTTTAAACATGAACGTGTTTACATCAGCTGAAGAACTTGAAAGGGCTCAGAGGCTTGAAGAAAGGGAACGCATCATTCGAGAAATATGGATGAATGGGCAACCAGACATCCCAGGAACCAGAAGTCTCAATCGTTATTATTAATTGAAACCGTCATGCAGTTCTTAGACGGCATTCTAAGCAAATTATATGTCAGAATTTTAACATTATAGACTGGTACTCCTACCTAAAGACTCCATTAGGATTTTCCCAGCATCATTAAATTGAATTATGAAGATTCTGTAACTTTTTTCCTGGAATTTCAAAGAAACATTTCTAAACATAATGTATATATATATATTTATACATATAAGACGCCTCCCACAACTGGTGCCGTTTGAGGCTGGGCCTTGATATACCTTTACAACCGGTTCTTGTGCACTTCAGAATATACATACAAGACATTTTGATTTCCCTTTCTGGAGGAACTGTATAATATAGGTAAATCCTACAGCAATCTTTGGGCATTTGGAAGAAGCTACGCAGTGAGAGCTTCACGTTTCCTACAAACTTTAAATCATCTCAGTGCTTAGTGACTAATAGTTGTTGTTCCACCTACAAAATAAATGAACTGGCTGCTAACAGGCCGATGACATGCAATTAAGCAGAGCTATAATTTAATTGTTTCCATGATCTTCTTAAAATAGGAAGATATTTGTTGCTGCTATGGTAAAAGACACCGTTCCATCCTATCAGCACCCTCTCTTTGTATCACATTGCCGAATTAGAATTATTTAGCCCATAAAAAAACTATTAATGGGCGGAAAGATTACTCTATTAAAGAATATTAGGCAGCGTATTCCGGCAGCTTTTGGGGCATTTTGTTTCTATTGCTAAATTTAGCAATAAAAGTATTATATAAAAACGTAGAAAGTGGATCAGCACCTTAAAAAAATCCGATATTTCAGACTTCTTTTTGGGCAGCATTTTAACTGACGCCTCAGGGATCCAATCCTATTTTGTTACAGGATTTTTTTTTTTGTACTAATCTATGGTATTTTGGACATAATCCATGCAATTGTTTGTTTTATAGCTATCCTTCTACGAACAATCTGCATGGGAAAATGTTATAGATTCACGGATGAAATGCCCACTAGAGATGTGTCAGAAACCTACAACCTCAGAGAGGTCGAATTTGGGATTGTTTTTTTTTCTTTGGAAATGCTTACGATAATGTGCCTTATTAATTATCTGTCCTACAATATTTTCCTTACCGAAAGCAATGCACATTGATTTTGTTATTTTATATTTTATTAAAGGAAAATAATGTATGTTGAAGAAAAAAAGTGTGTATATAAAGACCAATCGTGGCAGAAGGATTATGCAAATAAAAGTTTTTGTATTTAATAATTGGTTTGGCTCTGTGATGCTAGACAAATTAATACTGTATTCTGTTCGTTAATTGCAAGCAGATACATTGGATTTATTTGTTTAACTGGGAATTGCGAAAGTAAAGTTCCAATTTTTTTAAGCTAATGTGTGTAAGATACAAACATATCCAGGTTAGGGTAATTTTCCAATGTGACCATTTTGGCGTGGAATTGTTCAATTCTTTGTGAGTTCTACACGATTCCCAGTTGATTTATAAATTGTTCCAGGATTATCTAAATGAATGGACACGCTGGGCAATTGGGTACCACAAGCATAAGGACCCCATAGTCTTGCCAACTTTTCAGCATATTATTCAGGGAGATTTATTCAGAACCCTCTTTATTAAAACGTTTAGGTGGACTAATCACCTAAGTATCAGCTGTTATCTGTCCATGCGATCTGGCTGTTGACAATTCATATCTTGACAAAAATAGCATATACGTACTTATTGTACATAAGTAAGACAAAATCAACTAACATCATTTTTTTGAAGCTGAAAAGCTATGATAAAGTTCATTTCTAACAGTCCATGTCATTGAATCTCCCTGTTACCTGCTAAACAATTATGTGGATTAATCTCTTCTGTACAGCATGTTTTTTAATGTTTAAACACTGATTCTTGATGGAGGTATCAATAAATATAAGCTTAATTTTATTGATAATTCACATTTTATTCCTGTGAGTGGTTGTGTAGGGAGGGCCACGGTCCACTGCTTTGCCCGGGGGCCTATAAGACAGCCCTGATTTGTTCTTTAAGGATTAGGCTTGCATAGTGGTAGGACTAATTCTGTTCCCTGGAGGCAATAATTTTAAGCGTCCCCCTCTAATGCAGGGTTGGCCAAAAGGTAGATCCTCAGATTTCAAATCCCATGATGCTTTGCTGTCTGAAGGATCTACCATTTGCCCATCCCTGGTCATTGTAATTGTGAGCAGTGTCTGTGTGTATGAATGTAAGCATGCTGTTTGTGTGTTGTGTAGTGTTGGTGTTTGAATGCAGTTTGTGTTTGTATACAGGGATGTATTTATATGTAATGTTGTTTTTGGAATGCTCAGATGTACCCACATTGCCACAGAAACACAGATATACACATAATGACACACACATTTATATACACACATACTTACCGACACAGGGGCGCCCACACAAACACAGATACACACAAAAATACTGACACATATACACACCCACACAAATACAGACACAAACTACAGGTGTAGCTCAATATTATACCATCATCATGGCAGAAAGTTACCATAATGTAACCTTTA